TAACAGCAAGTAATATTCAGCATTTGCATCTACAATGTAACATCATTGTTATCTTTCTGTAACTCTTTATTACTCCTTAAGCTAAGGAGTAAATTTGTACATATTGTATCATTTTGTAAAAACTACACTTTTTATTTTGAAAATAAAAGCCGATGCGGACGCCATGAATCTCCCCTTTCACCATCTTTCCTATCTCACTTTTATTTCACCTTCATCTTTACTCTACTACTACTTTTCTTTAATCTTCACCCTTGGGCAATACCCATGGGTAGTTCCGAGTCTTCATCCCCTTTCTGCTAAAATGTGCTAAAATGTCAGATGTGCATGTGCAATGACTTCACTTTTGTTGCCTAAGTGTTATGTACTGTTCAATCCATTTATTGTGCATATCCACACACAGGTGCAACAACTACTTGATTCCAAGAATTTATAAAATTTAAACAAAATTAATATTTGATTCGCTTTTGTGGAGCGTGCTATCAGATCAGCTTGACCAAGCTTGTTTGTACTGTTAAAGAAAGCACTCTAATGTGCTCCATTTTTTAAATTAGTTTGATTTTTAGTGAACATTGGATTTTGTTTATTTTTTAATGGGCATTCGAATTTTTATTTTTGTGTAATTGTGTTCTATCAACGAAACAACGTGATTCACCTGAAGCAGGACTCAGGAGGAGCCCATAAACATTCGTGCAGTGTATATATTACCAACACTGGACAATAGGTTTATAGGGCCAAAATTATTTGATTAGCATATATTTTTGATTATATAATTTGACTAATAAAGTTACTAAACCATATTCAGAATTAAAATTGTATTATATTAATGTTATAATCAGGGCTGTGGAGTCGGAGTTTTGCTGTTTTAGTTGGAGTCGGTAGATTTTTATGCGACTCCACAGCCCTGGTTATAATTTTTGATTAATTTTATAGTAAAACATAAATAGTAATAACAATGTCCAAGTTGGATCTGAGATGAATCACCATAAAGCAGACACCATAAATATTGTTTTCTATTGCTGAAATATAATCTCTATTCAATTTCAGCAGTTAAACCTGAAGAAAGCTTCTTAAGCCAAATAATGTTTTGTTTTATAAAATGATTGCTGTAAAAGTATTTATTGTGTCTGCTTTATGGAAAAAGACAAATAGAATAACAATATTAATTTGACATACTTGATCATTGAAGTTAGTCAGTCAGATTAAATTAATTATGTATTTGTGAATTTTAATTATTTACATTGATGTTTATAGATTATTATTAGTCAGGATATTCATTAATCCATAGTAAACTCAACTTTTAATTTCCTAATTTTTTATAATAGGTTTAATTGGAGCAGGAATAAATTATTCTGAACGACAATATGAAAACCAAATGGTAAATAAAATATTATGTCATTAATAAATATTTTCAATTTGTAAATCTTAAAATATTTTGTAATTTTGCAGAACTCTCATTGCCATTCTAATAGTTATCCATCCTATCAGCCTTCGTCTCCATATCGTCCTCATCCAATATCTCCACAAGCTCATACTCATCAATATAACAGTCACGGGAATCATCAGATGCACTCAGGTATGGTATATGGCACTGGTCATCAGTTGGGACCATATGCTTCAGCACCACAAGCACATTTTGGGACTCAAACTCAAGATATATACAGCAATCGCCGTAACATGTTCAGCAATGGAAATCGTAATGTACAGCAAGTAAAAACAGCTTGGGTAGATAGTGGAAACAGTGGAAATAGTGATTTAATACAGAATTTTAGTCAGTCTTCTCCACGTCCAACAATGCTTGTTAATTCCCCACATATGCCTCCTCCATCTTTGCGTTCACCTCCACATGGGGTTGTTAGCAGTACAGCAACTTCATCTCTTGTACCAACTCATCATCATTATCGGTCTTTGCCTGTTGGAACCTCCCCTAATCAATCTCCTCATTCCTGGTCTCAAACTCAAATACCAAGCCCAAGTTTGCTTCATTCTCCACGTGCTACACCATCTCCTCTTCCAAATCATGCAAGATCACCAGGACATAATCAGCCTTTTTCTCCACCTCCAACAACTCCTTCTCCTCATCATGCTTCAACATCTGCTACTTCACATCAAACATCACAAGTAAAGGTTGCGTCTCCATCAAGTAGTAATTGTCAGACTATAAATCAGTCAGGATCTGATCCTTTACAGTCATTGCAAAAAATGGTTATGTTAGAAACTGATACAAATGAATCTCCAATGACAAGAGTTAATTATGAAGTACCAAATTCTCACAATAATCCTCAAACAACTAGGTGTTATTTCTCTTCAGTTGAACAATTAGCTGGAAGTAATCCAGGATCACCATATCCAACTTACTATAACTTAGATCAAAATCGACTCTGTACTCCATCAAGTGCACGTATGTCAACACCTGCAACGCCCACATATTCATCTGCTCCTGATTCTGTATCAAATAGTTCTACTAGTAATGACTCTAGAACTTCATCCTGTACTGAAAATATAATTGTTAATCAACAAAATGGAGAAGTTAAGCATACATCTAGTGCAGAAGTAAATAGTGAAAAACTCAATTCAGTTTCAAAAGATAAAATCATAAATGGAGAACAGGAAATTGATGTTGATGAAACAACATCAAATTCTTTGCAAGATTCAAAAGATAAATTAATTCAGAAAAAAATTGAAATTTCCGATTCTAAAGAAAACTGCATAAATTGGAATAAAAAATTTTCAGTAGGAGAAGATTGTTCCACAAATGAAATCAAGCCTACAGCAATTACTTCATTCAAGAATAAAAAAATAAGCAATGATGATGATGATGATTCAGATTTTTGTAATTCACCACAAGAGACTGTTGTTGAAAAACAATTAAAAAGTAAAACTATTTTATCTAATAAAAGAAATTTAGTTATACAAGAAATATCTGTTTCAAATGGACCTGCTTCTAATTGTGGTGATAATGACAGTTATTTACAAAATACCCTGAACTGTGCATCACCAAAATGGAATAATAATGAATCCTGTGATGATAGTCATGATATAGAAGAAAAGGAACATTTATCAGAGGAAAATACTTTAGTTTTTTCCAAGCAAAATTCTTTAGCGGGACTTTCATCTCAACGAACAAGTACACAGTGTAATTTAATATGGATAAGGAAAGATATCAAAAATATTCATAAAACTATAGAATTATCTGAAAATTTAAATACAGAAGTGTCTAATGATGGGAATGAAAAAAATGACAGTGATAGTAGTGATGAGAAAGAGAGTTCTGAAAACTGCACAAATAAAATACATGATAATAAAATACCATTAGCAACACAAAAATTTGGAGATTTTGGAATTAGTAATTTCTTGGGAAAAGAGGAAAAAAAAGAAAGTTGGAAACATCCAGATTTATATGTCGGACCTTCCCCATCTGATGAAAGATCTGATGAAAGCATGTCAAAAGAATCTAGTATTGTAAATACTTCTGCTCCATTAAAAGCAACATCTGAATCATTAATTATCCCTTTAAGTGAAAATACACCATCTGATGAATCAAAATTAAATAAAAAATCCAAAAATACTTCCAAAGAAAAGTTTACAATAAAGGAATCTTCAGATACAACAAATGATGATCATACTCCATCTCGTTCTCGAAGTTCTGATAGTCCTCCAAAGAAAAAACGAGGTCGTCCATTTGGAAGTAAGAATAAACCTAAATCTCAAAGCGATAAGTCAGATAAAAAGAAACGAAAAAAGGGTGAAGTTGTTGATACAAAAGAAACAGATCAAAAGAAAAAAAATAAAGGATTTAGTGGACCTCATGTTCATGTTGTCGGGACCAGAGACAAACCCCTTTCCATAACTGTTGTAAATGTAGCACCTAAAGAAGAAGAAAAATATGTAAAGTATCAAAAACAAAAGAGGGATTTTCATACAGGAAATAACTTACATAAAAAGTTGGGAGTAGGACATACCAGTACATTATCTCCACTTTATGATGCATTCACAAAAGATAAAACGTGGGTTTGTGCATTATGTCAAAAAGGTAGTCACTATCGCAATTTAGGAGATTTATTTGGTCCATATTATTTCAAAGAGGAACATAATTTAACCATGCCTTCAAACTGTTCAGCACCAGCAGATAATGTGAAAAATGTGCAGAAAGATGCTGCTGTTACTAGTAAAAATGCAGCATTAAATCGAAAGGTTAGATCAAAGAGGAAACGATCTGAACTTGTTGAAGAATTTATAAAAACGTCAATGTCCAAAAAATCAAAGCAGGTAATCATAATTATAAAATTAATAATTAAGGTTAAAATTAATTAATTAAATTATTATTATTATAAAACTGTTAAAAATAAATTTTAATCTATTCTCACTAGTATATTAATATTACTGTATTTACTCGCATATAAGATGATCTCGCATATAGGACAAAGTGTGACTTTAAAGATCAAAATAAAGAAAATTAGATTGGTTGGTAGGTAAATGTGTGTTTTGTAGCATTGTAATGTATTTGATGAACATGAGTAGTGTGTGTTGGTTATATTGGAATGAAATACAAATTTTAATCATAAGAAATAGTTGGAAAAGTTTTAGAAACAAAGTACTGTACACTTTGTAAAGTTTTAAAATGAATTTAAATTCCAGCAAATAAAAATTATACATCTTTTACTTCAGAAAGATCAAATTGATAAAATAAACAGATATCATTGCTCTTTTCTCACAAAATAAAACAAATATTGGCTTCTTATTTTCTAAATATTTGATAATTTGAAATTTTATTATTTAACTATAAACTAAGTCACCAAAACTTTTAGATTAGTAAGTTTTTTATTCTTAATTTAGAAAAGAAATTTTTTTAAATTGCAGCCCAAATGTTTTCAGAGTCATATACAGTAGAGTGTCGGTTATCTGAATCAGTTGGGGACTCAGGTTGTTCGGATAACCGATTATGTACGAAAAAACCTATCCCATGTTGAAATTTTTCTCCGTTGCATGTTGCTTTGCGTTGAATTTTCGTCGATGTTAAGCCTAACGCAAATTTTTATAATAATAATCATGGCTATTCTTTATTTTGTATAAATAAAATAAATATATTGAAAAATAAAAAAACAAAAAAAATTAGACTTTAGAAGTTAATCTAGTGTCAAAAAGTTTGATTCAGCACGACACAGTGCAACTGGAATGCTGTCGGTTAACTGATGTTTTGGTTGATTGGCATTCAGATAATCTGTAATTCAGATCGACGCTCTACTGTATTATAAAATGGCAAAAAGCTTAATTTTGAAGGTAGAGATGGGTTTTATAAAAAAATTGTAAATGCTAATGAGTAAAATTGTCATTAAGTCCGATCCTACTGGAGATACGCATGGCCCCCATTATCTCCATGCCCCTTTGACCTTTAACCATCAAAATTTAATAACATCAATTCCCCAATAAACAATCTTCCCTGCAAAATTTCAGAAATTTTTGACAAAAAGCACAGGAGATTTAAAGTTTAAACAAAATGAACAAAATCATGCCCCTTACACATTAGTATTTGTAAGAGGCATGACATACTAATGTGACCGGAGGGTTGGCACCTCTTTAATCAGTCTTGACAGGGTTGGCACCCTGTCAAGACTGATATCACTGTTTCTCGTTTGACATGGAAACTGAGACAGCGTGTTGATTTGGATTTGATGTAGGTCACGTGAGCATGTGTGATCAGATTCGGGATGGAGACAGATTGAGAGACAGCGCACTGGAAGTACTGCACTCAGACTCTAGGGTTAATAACAAATAACTGTTTAATAATTTCAAAAAAAAAGGTTATAACTAAAATCTTCTTACGTGAATACTGGAAAACATATAAATTAAAACTCCAAAACCTTAAGGACCACATCCCCGTTTGGTGTATTTATTTATATATATTTATATAATTGTATGTATTACATATGCCATTCCGTCACCATGGCAATGCACATGCATAACTGTATTCTTTTAAAATCTGTTTATGCTGTTTTATTTTTCAAAATTAATTTTCAAACTTAATTTCATAATCATTGTTCTATGATCGCACAGGTTCAAATCTAACTGGTTTTTAAACCTGATGAAGACTGAAAGTACGATTGAAAATGTTTGTTTATTATTAAATTGAGTACTACTGGACGTTTAAAGGTTTTGGAGTTTTAATTTATAATAAGAAAGTATCATGATATGCGGGATGTTTTTTAATACAGCAATATTAAATGGATTTTTATATATAGTATCATTATTGGCATTCATTTCTTTTTGAAAAAGAGTTAAAAAATTTGCTTTTTAAGACACCANTCTTAGTTCCGGCATTCATGCTCTTTTGCTGTAGATAATTTGTGATCTAATTTTTTTGTTGGTCTATCATGCCATGCAGTTGGTATAAGCCCATGTGATGAGTGCCTTATTGACCACTATTCTGAAGCATGTAATACTGTAGGAATGAAGAGGGATCTGTAGCTTGGTTTTCTAAATATGTTAGTACTGATCTTGCCATCTTTGAAGGCAATTAGAATATCCAGCAAATTGTCCCATGCCACTCTCTTGCTCTAGGTGCAGAGTAAGTTCAAATGAGTTATTTTTGATGCATTGAAAGAATTCTTGGAAGTTGGATTTTTTCCATCAGACAATCAGCACTTCATCAGCATATCTTGAGTATAGATGTGTACTTATTTGCTATATTCTGGTAGAATTGTGTCCTCCAATGATTTTAATACAAGCTCTCACAGTATTCCTGAAAGAAATCTGCCCATTGATACTCCTCTGCATTTCATGTATGTAATATTTTCAAATACAAAAAAAGGAAAAGTATCATATGAGATGAGATATTCCAATATTTGCTTATGGTTTGCTTGGGGATTTTTAGTATGAAATATTTTCTGTTTGAAGTTGGCATTGTTTTCCTATTAAAACAAAATTTTATTTTTAAAAATAAATCTCTATAAATATTCCAAATAGGCTACACACATTATAATACAATTTTTCAGTAATTATTTGTTAATTTAAGATACAATGGTGCAAAAATAATCTATTTATTTCACTTATAGCTTTTATAGCTTATCTTTTTAATAGATTTTATTCATACAAATAAATAAATAAATTTTTATTTATGGAAAAGAAAAGATTAAAAATTTATTTAATAAACAATGCAATCTTCTTAAATTGATTACTTTATATAATCCTGTAGTTGCTATCTATTAAAACTAATTTTTGTCTTTTAAAGGTTAATTACAAGGTTATAAAATCTATTGGAATAACAAATACCTAACATATGGGTTTCATTATTAATTATTATTAGTACACACATTTAGTTATATACCAGGTGATCCAGAAGTCCTTCAACATAACAGCCAATTGTCATGCCAAGAATATGAAATTTTATTTATTTTTTGTATGCAACTGCAAATTTTGTTTTTTCTTTAATTTAGTATAGTTGTTTTTTGTTTTTCTTATGTATGCATGTATTTATTATTAATTCAGATTTATTTACATAAAAATGCTTCATTTTAATTTTAGAAAGCAGCAGTAATTATAGTTATCACAATCTTCTTTGCTGTTAAACAATGGATGATGAAAAAACTAACTGAGACAAAAGTGATTTAACTTACAAAGGATGTTTAAACATAAAAACCAATATTTATTTTTTCTTAAAAACTGTAATATTGTCAAATTTTTCATTTGTATGGCAACAAGTGTTTGAACTGCACGCTTAGTAAGTCTTTACACATGTGAATTTTGGTGCATAGACTAGTGTACACATCTTCAATGAGTGAAAGGGAATATTGGAAGTATAGTCCTGACATGTACAGTACTTTCAATATTGTGTGCAGTGACACAACATAGCAGCACAAATGGCTGTTATGTCAAAGGACTTCTGGATCACCTGGTATTTCTTAATAGAAAATTATTTTTAATTTAAAATTTTTAGGATAAAATATTAAATTATAAATTACATAAAATTAGCTTAAGAAACCAGAAGGTGAAGTAGTTAGTCCAGAATCATCATCATCAACAACTGTTCCAGTAACATTTCACGAAGGAAATGAATTTTGGATTCATGAAGATTGTGCTCTTTGGTCCCATGGTGTTTGTTTAAATGGTCAAAGAATTCATGGCCTGGAAGATGCAGTTAAAGAAGCTTCTGTTATGGTAAGTTTTATATTTTATTAATTTGATTCAAATAATTTAAAACTTAAAGAATTTTGAATTATGCTTGTTTTTTTCCAGTTCTTAATTATTAAATATATGGATTATATTTAAACTGCTTCTATTCAGTATTGTCTTTTTTGTGACAGTAAAGGTTAAAATATAATAAAATTTAAGGAGGATATTTTTCATTACATGTAGAGAAATACTTCCAAACTTTTTGAAAGATGACTTCTCACTTTTGAACAGTTGATTGAACAGATCACTTTTTTAAAGTTATATGTTTGTATAATAAAAAATAAAGGAAATCCATTCATATTCAGGCACACACTGCCAAGAAAAATTCTGTAGCAGTTTGACTAATTACAGTTATCTTTCAGTTATACCACTCTAAAGGGACCAGTGATAAGTCATATAAGTGAGCGAGTTGTACAAAAGAGAGATTGAGCAACTAGAATGAAAAATGTTAAAAATATAACTGTATGACATTACCACTTGTTTTATCTAAACATATAGCCAGCAGCCATTCTCTTTCTAAAAACAGATGTCTAGCATGATAATCCCTTCTGCTTTCTTATCTTCTTGGGCACCTGTTTGACCTATGGTAAAATGGCCCCACTAGTTATTGTGATTGACAATCACAACAGTGAAGGGGGGAAAATACATTAGTCTGAAACATTTGTAGGGGTGTAGAACTGTGATTCAAAGGAGAGATTTTAGATATTATCTTCCAAAGGCTTCAGCCAGCACCAGTGAAAAACATTTCATACCTGAGAAAGTCACTTAAATGAGAGGTGCATAAGTGAGATGTCATTGTAGTTGTAAAAAATGTTAGTCAAATTTAGAAAACTTTAGCACACTTGTATTTTCTCAAAAAATTTAGATTTTCTTCTTTGCATTCAGCTCATTTAGACTTTGAATTTTGCAATCCATAACATTCTTAGATTAGAGCATATATAGATTCCTGGAAGGGTTACTATTCTCGGTTTATCCTGGTACCCTTCAGTGCTCGTGTTTGAAGCTGTAATGTGTAATTCTTGTCAACTCTTTACTCTTCAAGAAGTGCTTTAATTAAATTAATGCTCAGCAGATACTGGATATACGTGATGTGCTGATCTTCATTACTTAACACAATTATTTTCGTTTTTATTGGAAAACTTACACAGACGAGATGTTTCTTACCTTCAAACATTTAGACTTATTTCGAAGTTTGGTTATTTTTTGAGACCAGAAATATGCCTTAGGTACTTAACTCTTGTTAATATCAATTAGTCTATGGTAAAATTAGTTTCATTATACTTCACTTTGTTTCACTTAAAAAATCAGTTTCCAAGAATCTGTCAACAATGTTAAGTGAGGACTTGCTGTACTTTTATTTCTGTATTTATCTTTAACTTCATTTCTATCCAGATGAATTTCAATAATTATATTTAAAGAACTTTCTCAAAGTTAGGGTCTTAAAATGAATAGAAGATATATTATGATTTAATTATCATTAATTTATCTTAGTATTAATGTAAAAATGTTTTTAGTTCAATTAAAAAATTTTTGTGTAGAATAGAATATTTATTTTTAAGATAGTGAATATTGTGTTCACTATTATTTTAAATCTGTCTTCTAATTGCAAATATATTTTTAAGCTTTTGAATTTTAGATATTCCTATGTTTTATTTATTATTATAGGTATGCTCTAAATGTAAATTACGAGGTGCAACACTTGGTTGCTTAAATAAAGGATGCACAGAACAATACCATTATATTTGTGCTGTTGATAAAGGTAAATAGATATTTTTAAATAGAGATATTAATTAATTTGGAGCTAAAGATTTCATTTGATTGATTTCTTTTTTTTAAATTAAACTTGAAATGACTATAAAAGTTAAGTTTATTTTTAATGTGGGATACACAACAAACAAAACTTAAAAATTANATTGCACAGGTTCGAATCTAACTGGTTTTTAAACCTGATGAAGACCGAAAGTACGGTTGAAAATGTTTGTTTATTATTAAATTGAGTACTACTGGACGTTTAAAGGTTTTGGAGTTTTAATTTAAAAAGGTTATAGGATGCATATCATAATGTTAGATTAACCAACCTATTTAACGGAGTGGTCGCAAGAGATAGAGTTTACATGAGGTTCGCGTGTTGAGATAAATACCTGAGAGTATCACTTGTTGAGTTCCAACTTCCCAAGTTTGTTTTTGGTAATAGGGTTGTCATGTGAACAGTTCGGAAAAAGGTGATATCTGGTGACAAAGACCTGGAGATATCTGTTAGTGGGCAAGGTATTCATAAAGGTGACATCTGGCGATGAAAATTTGGCAATATCCGTTAATGTGTAAGGTATCCGCAAAGGCGATATAGGAACTGATCAACACATTAGAGGCACTGATGACGACTGGGGACCTGGTGGTGAATTCTTTTCTCGGGAAGGACTAAAACTGTGACTGACGCTACAGCCGTTAATTTCAGTACGATATCGCCTGGCTAAGAGGTCAGCAGATCATGGGAATGCATCACTTTCGTCATCGGGAAAGTGTAAGTGGAGATTCTCCCAGGAAGCTGAGGACAACAATTGTTGAGCAAGTATGGCGTCATTGACAATTGATTTTTGCCAAAGTTCAGATTCTCATACTAACATCTACATGTACAGAAATTACACCTGAATTTTTTTTGCATTTCTCAATGTTTCAAGGTGTCCTAAGTCCAAAAATTAAAAATCTGCGTGGGTCATTTTTTGCTGGATTGCCATACTTTCCCTCTGTTATAACAGCCAGGAAAGTAAAAATGAACCTTTGAAAAGTAGGCATGGCTAAAATTTTTGGAAATGACAATTTAAAAAGTGCATGGCATATCAAAATTGATCAAATGTGTATGATAGAAGGTTAAAAAAGGCCCTCTTAGTGCACACATTGCAGAAAACCATTTAAAAAAACTTGGGAAGGAAATAGAATTTATGTTGATTTTTACTGTAAAGCCTGATTTACACGAAGTGTAAGCAGTCTGTTGCTCACAACTAAAATGCTCCATTTCACTTTGTTTAAATGATCATGCTTCTCTCTAGTAATACATGTCTGTATACATGTGATCATGTTGCAATGAATCAAAGAAATTGATTTAATAGACTTATTATATCTGAGACAGAATTGAGTCTAATCACTAAATGTTTTTATCCATTTATTTTATTGTCTAAGCCAAACAAATGCGTAATGAATTGGGATATTTTTCCACTACTATTAATAAATGGCAATTGTTTGGCTTTGATTAATAATATTGGGCTTTGAAATGTTTACATATGTATTTTATTGTCCAAAATGCATTTCAGGCTACTAAAGCTTTTTTCAGTTGGAGTACATTTTACATATCATAAATTTGACAAGAGATTGCATTTTACTTAGGAGTAATAATAATCAACTTTCAGTTTTATATATGTAATAGTAAATTATTAAAATTATTTTTGTTTTAGCATTTAATTGGGAAGTGGGTGAAAAATTGAGTTACAAGATTTTATGTAGACAGTACAACTGAAAAGAGGCAATGGTTTGCTCTGTGTATAGTGTAATCTGTTATTGTATTTTTATGAATTTAATTTTTTGCTAATTGCTAAAATTGTTTGCAAACTCTAAAAAAAAAAGTATTGTCATTGAAAATAGACATGTATGAAAACCTTCAACTAGATTGGAAATTGGGAAGGGAATGAAAATTAAGTCACTTTATCTGAACAGACAAACAGAGTAAGTTAATAAAAAGGGTACTACATGTGATTGCAAGTGTTTCAGGAAGAGTTCAATTTGACTGTGCAAAATGGGGTGTTCAAATTATTTTGTTTGACCCCTGTATGTAATATACTTTCAAATTGCATGTTTGGAAGCTTTTGCTATCACTTTAAAATAATGGACAGAGAAATTTGAATCTGCCCGTGTTTGCCTTATGTAAGCCACCAACATCATGGTTCGTGTGGGAGATGATGATAGCTGCTTATGCTTCATGTAAATTTGATTTTAGAGCAGTGGTTCTTAACCTTCTTCTTCTTCACGTGCCATGCCCAGTCCCCCGGATGTTGGCGATCACCAAGGAGAGGGAGTTCCTATCTTCGGCCGTTCTCATTACCTCCCCAATGTTTTGTGTGCCTGTCCACTTTTTAATATTGTCCATACATGATAAATGTCTTTGGCCTCGTTTATGCTTCCCCTCAATCTTTCCATTGAGGATTAGTTGTGGGATTTTGTATTTTTTTCCTCTACTTCCCCCTGGTTGTTAACCAGGGGTCAATAAAAAGTTTTCAGAGATTCTTGGAACTTTGAAGGGTAAAAATTAACTTACCTTAATTTTGTATTATTGTATGAAATTGTTAATTATTGTGTTAAGGAAAAAGCACATATATTACTATATCATATAATTTTTTATTTTTAATATAGTAAAGGCATCTCTAAATAACTTGTTTCTTTTCTAATTTTGTTTTATGCATTTAAAAACATTATTCCAAGAAGGGATTTGTGACCTTTACCTGTTAAACTCATCAATGTCTAGAGTTACCATAGTAATGGCTACTGCAAATTCTTTTCTTTAGGTGCTAGAAATTCTGAATTTTTTCAGCATAAAAAATATTCTTCATGTATCTTTACAAAATAAAAGTCCATTGGAGTAAGATCTGGGCTTTTGAGAGGTTAGAGGTTTGATCCTCTTTTTTTTCCAATTCAAGAATTTGGAAACCTATTATTCAAGGTATCATACATAGACAGGCTAAAATGTAGAGGTGCACTACCTGTATGTAAAAGACCTGGATTGTTTTGGCACCAAGTCTTTAATTTATGGAAAAACACAAAGTGGGAACATGTTCAGGTAATTATCTCCAGTAATAGTGGTCTTTACAAAAAAGTGGTCATGCTGAATCATGAAACAGGGCCTATACATTTACTTTTGAAGAACCATAAATGTCATGGTGAATTTCATTCGGTTGCTCTGATTTCCATTTTCTACAATTATGCCTTTTTATGTACCCATTCATACAAAAAGTTGACTCATCTGTGAATAAAACCTGGCATAGAAAAGTTTCATTAACATCAGCTTGTTTAGCATTAAAGTGGCAAATTCATAATGTATATGCTGGTCATCTGATTTGATGTCATGTTTCATCTGAATTTTGTAGACATGAAGGTTTAAACACTTGTGAAAGTTATTTGGATTGTAGTTTTTGAATCTTCAATCTCAAACTCCAACAAGAAATTAATTTCTTTGGGTACCTTATTCAAGATAGTGTAATGTGTTTGACATTTTCTTCCATAATTTTTAGTCAGCCTAGAAATTTCTGTTTCTTTGAACTGTTGTAATCAATGATTAACAATTTTATAATCTGGTGCAGTATGTCCAAGTGTAACTGTCATCACTTATGTCAAATGCTACAACTGATTTCAATTTCATGTATCATAAAATAAACTGCTTTTATTATAATTTAGTGGTTGGATGTGATGTCCCAGACTAATGTGCACAACTCTACTTGCACATCTCAAGGTATGCAGTGCAGATGATGTCTCTCATACCCCAAAATTTCGTTTTTGCCACATTTCAGCACTTGAATCACTTCAATATGTTGAATGTTTACTGAATTTAATTTTTTTTTTTTTTTTAATCAGGACATTCTTTTTTGGTGATCATATACCAAGTGATCAAACAAAAGATTCATTGATGAGTAGTAGTAGACTTAATAAAACTATGAGCTGGCCTTGTTTATTGTTGCTTTTATGTATCATAAGAAACTTCAATCTCAATATTAAGCATTTATTTACTATAAACATGAGGGATAACATTTAAAATTTAAATAAATAAAAATACTCACTATTATGAAAGATTTAGCATTGCCAAGTCTACACATGTAAACTTTTTGTTTTGATTACCTATAGAAAAGAACAGAATTCAATGAATATAATGAAACAATAGAAACTCAACATGAGATTGACTTTATGGCTCAGTATTTGTAGCTACAGCAAAAAATAAACAAGCATTCTTAATATTGCAAGGAAAATTACAATAGTTATTGACAGAACCGCAAATGCTCATGATAAGCATTGTGGAACTATAAAAAATATTTAAAAAACTATACAAACTATATATATATAGTTTGTATAGTGTTGTTACTCAGTACTCCCACATTCAATACACACAAACTGCCACTGTGCCATTTTGGCAACAACATATTGAATGGATAAAATAAATTGGAATAAATGATGACAGGTTTGACTGCATCTGCTTCCTGATCATATAATAAAATTAAAATAGCAGTGCTAATTTTTTTAAAACAATAAGTTTTTTATCCTTTTAGTTTAACTCCTATAGAAATGTGGGAAATCTTACAGGGCATAAGTTCCCAAAATTTTTGTGACCACTGCCCACTTTTCAAAACAAAAATTTTTTAATGCCCCTTCATTATAACAGTATTCCCTATTTAAGTCGTTTGATATTTTTGACATAAATAGCAATTAGTGATACATTACTGCATTTGCTGTTAAATTATTGAAAAAATAACGGCCAGTACATGCTTCACCTTGAAAACTGCTGCTGTTATACTGATTTTGATAAAATGTAGCCCATATGTAAAAATTGTAAAGTGTATGCTCAAATAACATAATGCACGGTTTCATCTAAATCTGTGCAGTGATGTAAAAGGTTTAAATATGAAAATTGGGAATACATAGTGATTATATTATTATGTAAGTATTTCTTATATCTGTGAAGAATCCTCAAAGATGTTTATAAGAAATTTTTTTTTTCATTATTTTAACTAAAAATATCAAAAGATAAAGCTTTCTGAACTGTACCTTATCAAACTTCAAGAGGTTTTATTATTTAGAAAATAAAAATAGCATTGAAATTTTTTAATTTATTCTTTATATCTTAAAAATTTATTGCTTAAGGCTCCATATACAGTGTTTTGTCTTGAATGCACATTGTTGATTAATTGGAAGATGTTAAAGTTGAAATACATTGAATATATTTTTGAAGACTTTCGCTGTGTGTTTCATCAACAATTGTGGCGTTTCCAGGCTCGCAATTATGAAATTTTATTATCCATCAATTTACAATAGACCTATCAACAGCATCATCACCATAAACAGCCTTTAAATGTAATTTTTTCAGCAGTTAAAAATTCGATAACAGCATGCTGTTTAACTTGCGTTGACATAGCACCAGAACATGTCTCCATATTTCCGCTTCTCAAAATATACTGAATGAACGCAACAACCTCAAACTGCACATGTGCATAGAGGGGGGATGTTACTTTCATATGCCACCTGGCACGCTTCTGAAAATCATTTCGTTTGTGCTCTACAAGCATGTGTGCATTACTTTTCAGCCTACCCTCGTACAACAGTTTCACTTAGTGCGTGCCAGTTTTATTGGCACAAAAATGCTGTTTCTATCAGTCTTTCATTGTTTTAAAAGTGTGTTCGGGACTAGGACTGCAAGTGGATTACTTTTACAACTGTTTCTTACTTTTTTATTTCCAGTTACTATTTCTTCTCTATTTTCATTATTAGGCTACTTTTTGTTACTATTTGTCTTTCAACAATTAAACACACATTCAGTATGAGAATGTAGATTAAAATATGTTGTTCTTTAAATAGAAGAAAAAACAAAATTTGTAGTTGTCATGCTTGAAGGCATTTACATTTTCACAAATGCCATTTGTGTTATGGAGTCTAGAAACACAATGCTATATCTATTATTTGAACTTTCTAATTGCATATTGCTATAGCATTGATCCGTAGAGAACAGATAGGATCCTTATTAATATTTTTGTACCGATAAATTGTCTTCCTCTCAAAGTATGTATGTGTTTATGAATTATTTTATACCATACTACAAATTTTAGGCATAGATGCGAGTACTTGCTATACTGTAGGTGAAGAGTGTACTGGTCCTTTCAGTCTCACTCTAAAACAAGCTGAAATATTCTTCGTTTAGTACCACTATATCAGGAGACATATACATTAGTTTGCAGTTCAGATAAGCTGCCCACTCTTATGGAATCATGGTATCATACCATCAGTATTAATCTGTATATATATATTGAGGCATCAGGCCAATGACATCGAGTCAGAAAAAGTTCTCATTATCAGATGTAGATATGAGTTTAAACTATCAAGTGCTATGTGCCATATTTAATGTTTAGAATTATCAAACTGAACTGAATTACATTGATGTACACTTAGATGAATAATTAAATGCATAGAACATGCTACCTAAAATTGCAATATTTTATCTTAGTGCAGTTTCAATGACATTGACCCTTACATTGTGGGAAAATTTTGTATAACTCCATGTTGTTGAGATGTCACTTGAGTATTTGTAGTTTATAGATTTTTCTCTAAGGGTTACTTTATATATTTCGGCTCCTCTGAGCTCTTTAGGGTTGTATGTAAGTATTATTATTTTTGTGTTCACTTCCATCTGCAGGTCTAATGTGTAAGTTGCCAGAGCCATAGTACTTTGCCTTTTACTGATTGCATATTTGTATTCATTAATTTCATTTATAACACACTTGTATTTTAAAACCCTTGTTTAACTCTAATAAGTCCTTTTTGTAGAAAACGTACTAACATTTTCGATCCTTCTCTCTCATCGGATCTTCTTCAGATCCAGACTTTCTTATAGAAGTATGACTAAATTATGAGTTCCAACTGCATATTCTTTTTGTGGAATGTCTAACAAAATTTCAAATTCGAAAATTATTCAATGCACATTCTTTTTGTAGAATATTGAAATTTTTTTAAAACTTTGATTATATGACATAAACAGAACATGCACACAAATCAAGTCTTACAGTCATAAATCAAAAAAATTTGAATGATGTGTTATGTACTGTACATGTACAGAAACTCCAATCTATAGAGTTTGTGATATTCAAATTAATTTTATTTCTTAGGGTGTGTGAAATGGCATCAATGTACTCGGGTACTCTGATTAGTTCTGTGGTCAACACTGGGTATTCATTATTTATCATTTCTCAAAAGACTATGAATAGTCTGGTTTCTATTCTCCTTTCCATGGCTATTGCAGTTTCTTGATGGAGGATTCGTAGATGTGTATTATAGCTTATGATCCTAAAATTTTCATGCCTTTGTGTTGCTGTAATTATTTTATTTATTGATTCTGTTATCTTAGTTCCGGCATTCATGCTCTTTTGCTGTAGATAATTTGTGATCTAATTTTTTTGTTGGTCTATCATGCCATGCAGTTGGTATAAGCCCATGTGATGAGTGCCTTATTGACCACTATTCTGAAGCATGTAATACTGTAGGAATGAAGAGGGATCTGTAGCTTGGTTTTCTAAATATGTTAGTACTGATCTTGCCATCTTTGAAGGCAATTAGAATATCCAGCAAATTGTCCCATGCCACTCTCTTGCTCTAGGTGCAGAGTAAGTTCAAATGAGTTATTTTTGATGCATTGAAAGAATTCTTGGAAGTTGGATTTTTTCCATCAGACAATCAGCACTTCATCAGCATATCTTGAGTATAGATGTGTACTTATTTGCTATATTCTGGTAGAATTGTGTCCTCCAATGATTTTAATACAAGCTCTCACAGTATTCCTGAAAGAAATCTGCCCATTGATACTCCTCTGCATTTCATGTATGTAATATTTTCAAATACAAAAAAAGGAAAAGTATCATATGAGATGAGATATTCCAATATTTGCTTATGGTTTGCTTGGGGATTTTTAGTATGAAATATTTTCTGTTTGAAGTTGGCATTGTTTTCCTATTAAAACAAAATTTTATTTTTAAAAATAAATCTCTATAAATATTCCAAATAGGCTACACACATTATAATACAATTTTTCAGTAATTATTTGTTAATTTAAGATACAATGGTGCAAAAATAATCTATTTATTTCACTTATAGCTTTTATAGCTTATCTTTTTAATAGATTTTATTCATACAAATAAATAAATAAATTTTTATTTATGGAAAAGAAAAGATTAAAAATTTATTTAATAAACAATGCAATCTTCTTAAATTGATTACTTTATATAATCCTGTAGTTGCTATCTATTAAAACTAATTTTTGTCTTTTAAAGGTTAATTACAAGGTTATAAAATCTATTGGAATAACAAATACCTAACATATGGGTTTCATTATTAATTATTATTAGTACACACATTTAGTTATATACCAGGTGATCCAGAAGTCCTTCAACATAACAGCCAATTGTCATGCCAAGAATATGAAATTTTATTTATTTTTTGTATGCAACTGCAAATTTTGTTTTTTCTTTAATTTAGTATAGTTGTTTTTTGTTTTTCTTATGTATGCATGTATTTATTATTAATTCAGATTTATTTACATAAAAATGCTTCATTTTAATTTTAGAAAGCAGCAGTAATTATAGTTATCACAATCTTCTTTGCTGTTAAACAATGGATGATGAAAAAACTAACTGAGACAAAAGTGATTTAACTTACAAAGGATGTTTAAACATAAAAACCAATATTTATTTTTTCTTAAAAACTGTAATATTGTCAAATTTTTCATTTGTATGGCAACAAGTGTTTGAACTGCACGCTTAGTAAGTCTTTACACATGTGAATTTTGGTGCATAGACTAGTGTACACATCTTCAATGAGTGAAAGGGAATATTGGAAGTATAGTCCTGACATGTACAGTACTTTCAATATTGTGTGCAGTGACACAACATAGCAGCACAAATGGCTGTTATGTCAAAGGACTTCTGGATCACCTGGTATTTCTTAATAGAAAATTATTTTTAATTTAAAATTTTTAGGATAAAATATTAAATTATAAATTACATAAAATTAGCTTAAGAAACCAGAAGGTGAAGTAGTTAGTCCAGAATCATCATCATCAACAACTGTTCCAGTAACATTTCACGAAGGAAATGAATTTTGGATTCATGAAGATTGTGCTCTTTGGTCCCATGGTGTTTGTTTAAATGGTCAAAGAATTCATGGCCTGGAAGATGCAGTTAAAGAAGCTTCTGTTATGGTAAGTTTTATATTTTATTAATTTGATTCAAATAATTTAAAACTTAAAGAATTTTGAATTATGCTTGTTTTTTTCCAGTTCTTAATTATTAAATATATGGATTATATTTAAACTGCTTCTATTCAGTATTGTCTTTTTTGTGACAGTAAAGGTTAAAATATAATAAAATTTAAGGAGGATATTTTTCATTACATGTAGAGAAATACTTCCAAACTTTTTGAAAGATGACTTCTCACTTTTGAACAGTTGATTGAACAGATCACTTTTTTAAAGTTATATGTTTGTATAATAAAAAATAAAGGAAATCCATTCATATTCAGGCACACACTGCCAAGAAAAATTCTGTAGCAGTTTGACTAATTACAGTTACCTTTCAGTTATACCACTCTAAAGGGACCAGTGATAAGTCATATAAGTGAGAGAGTTGTACAAAAGAGAGATTGAGCAACTAGAATGAAAAATGTTAAAAATATAACTGTATGACATTACCACTTGTTTTATCTAAACATATAGCCAGCAGCCATTCTCTTTCTAAAAACAGATGTCTAGCATGATAATCCCTTCTGCTTTCTTATCTTCTTGGGCACCTGTTTGACCTATGGTAAAATGGCCCCACTAGTTATTGTGATTGACAATCACAACAGTGAAGGGGGGAAAATACATTAGTCTGAAACATTTGTAGGGGTGTAGAACTGTGATTCAAAGGAGAGATTTTAGATATTATCTTCCAAAGGCTTCAGCCAGCACCAGTGAAAAACATTTCATACCTGAGAAAGTCACTTAAATGAGAGGTGCATAAGTGAGATGTCATTGTAGTTGTAAAAAATGTTAGTCAAATTTAGAAAACTTTAGCACACTTGTATTTTCTCAAAAAATTTAGATTTTCTTCTTTGCATTCAGCTCATTTAGACTTTGAATTTTGCAATCCATAACATTCTTAGATTAGAGCATATATAGATTCCTGGAAGGGTTACTATTCTCGGTTTATCCTGGTACCCTTCAGTGCTCGTGTTTGAAGCTGTAATGTGTAATTCTTGTCAACTCTTTACTCTTCAAGAAGTGCTTTAATTAAATTAATGCTCAGCAGATACTGGATATACGTGATGTGCTGATCTTCATTACTTAACACAATTATTTTCGTTTTTATTGGAAAACTTACACAGACGAGATGTTTCTTACCTTCAAACATTTAGACTTATTTCGAAGTTTGGTTATTTTTTGAGACCAGAAATATGCCTTAGGTACTTAACTCTTGTTAATATCAATTAGTCTATGGTAAAATTAGTTTCATTATACTTCACTTTGTTTCACTTAAAAAATCAGTTTCCAAGAATCTGTCAACAATGTTAAGTGAGGACTTGCTGTACTTTTATTTCTGTATTTATCTTTAACTTCATTTCTATCCAGATGAATTTCAATAATTATATTTAAAGAACTTTCTCAAAGTTAGGGTCTTAAAATGAATAGAAGATATATTATGATTTAATTATCATTAATTTATCTTAGTATTAATGTAAAAATGTTTTTAGTTCAATTAAAAAATTTTTGTGTAGAATAGAATATTTATTTTTAAGATAGTGAATATTGTGTTCACTATTATTTTAAATCTGTCTTCTAATTGCAAATATATTTTTAAGCTTTTGAATTTTAGATATTCCTATGTTTTATTTATTATTATAGGTATGCTCTAAATGTAAATTACGAGGTGCAACACTTGGTTGCTTAAATAAAGGATGCACAGAACAATACCATTATATTTGTGCTGTTGATAAAGGTAAATAGATATTTTTAAATAGAGATATTAATTAATTTGGAGCTAAAGATTTCATTTGATTGATTTCTTTTTTTTAAATTAAACTTGAAATGACTATAAAAGTTAAGTTTATTTTTAATGTGGGATACACAACAAACAAAACTTAAAAATTTTTGCATGCTTAGGAGGCATGTGATATTTTTTATTTTTTTTTTGTAAATATTGGTAATATATATATATATATAAATGTATCTCAAAAGTCTTAACCATATTTATGAGTTATAAGTTATTTCCAACTTAGGAAAAGGAAATATTTTTAAATAACTTACTGTTTCATTATTTCATGTCAGAACAGTTAACAAAGCACATCAAAAAAAGCAGTCCTTCAAAAACAAATTCTTTTGAAGAACTTTTACACTTTTTTTTGTTTTAATTTATATTGTATTTAATGTTAAATGTAAATGTTGTCTTTGTTTTTATGTGGATATTTGTTAATTTTGGGGGTATCTATTAACTGTCCTTCAAGAATTTTCTATTTATGTCTAAAAATAAATAAATAAAAGTATGGAATATGTACAAATAATATGCTTGTTAATTACAAAATTGTTCTTTTAACTCATTTCTTAAAAAATATTATTTAAATTTACCCAGTAGTAGATCAACAGAAAAGAGTGGTGATTTTTATATGGAAAACAAAAAAAATTTTGTTTTGTATATTGTTCATCTCTTATTTTGTCACCCAGTTGTCCATTGCCCAGTTGACTGTATCCCATCCCAATAGGTGGTACAGTATTTGATGTACAAGATTAAAATCTTTAATTTTGTTTTTCAAATATCTTGAAAGTGAGACATTATCCTTTTATCACTGCCATCTTGTTTATGTTTATTTTGTAATCTGTCCTAAGGCAATATAGGTCAGTCAGGCTATATTATTTTAAAAATTCACCGAAAATCAAATTACCATTATATTCATATGAAAAAAATCACGTACATTTATTAATATCTTTAGTTTTAAATACCATATTTTTCATTGCATTTTATTAGAAAAATTTATAAGAAAAAAAAATAATATATATCAGAACTGACATTTAAACTTGATAATTTGTAACTTTTTGTCAAAATTAACATTGTCTAGTTACCTAGTTTTTTGCTGGCACTAAGCCAGAAAGAGCCAGAATATTATTTTGTACAACTGTATATAACACTAATGCATGTATGTTTATTCATTGTTAAATTATCACACATTATATCAAACATTTGTTTGAATCAAAACTTTATTCTGCTATCAACTAATATAATGAACTAATATACTTTATTCACTTCATATCGAACAAGAATATAAATTTTTGTAATAAACATATGATTACCAGTAGTACATGTAACATTTACTGATATTTTAGATTAAAATAAAAAATAAAAAAATATATAAAATGTTAGAACTGAAGGTAACAACTTGAATATTTATAACACATTGACTTATTATAGTAATATTATTGCATGAATATGCTAAAAACGAAATAAAAAATTATCAGGAAAAATAAATTAAGGGAAAAAAGCATTAATTAAAATTTTTTAAGTCAACAAAACACCTGGACAAAAATATGTGAAACAGAGGATATACAAGACGCTGCCATCAAGTGCTGACATCTGTTGTCGATAAATTTTACAAAAATCAATTTTTACTAGGGTGCTGATTAATCGGTACCCTCATGGTTTTGCTTAACAATGGGGGTATCGACCAATCGGTATACTCAAGAAGAGAGGATTAACTTATTTTCACAGAACCAGTTTCTCTAAATTTTAGAATTAACTTATGAGTTCCTTTGGTACTGGAAACATGATTCTTAACAAAAACAGCACATAATACAAATATGAACAACAATTAGACTGAGATTTGGTTAAGGCCAATATAATCTGGCAGATCATTTAGCCTTAACAGCACATAATTTTCTTTGTGTTGTTATTAAAGATCATTGATTTTTGTAAAACATTTGAAAAATAACATGTTCTGCAATCATATACAGCTCCATTTTCTTCCCTCAGTCAGTCTCAACATTCCAAATGCCAAATATTACCAGCCAAAAAATATCACAACAAAAATTGTATACAATTCAAATCTGGTACCAGCTACTTTGATACCCTTTTTTAAAAAACTTCCAAAATATAAATTTAAAATATAATGATCACGGTTGATATTTTAACAAAATTTAAATTAAATAATATTTCTTTGTGATTAGCATTTGAAAATGAAGAATTTAATTTGGTTCAGTCACATCAGGGATGCTTAGCTTCTGATGTGAAAGCATTAAATTTTGTTTGAAATCTCTTGACATGCAGGAGTAGTGAGAAGCTAATTATGCTTTTGTATTGAACTCCAACAAAATATAGTGACTGCATTGAGTAGAAAAAGAAGATTACGTAGTAAAAATCTTCAGAATTTTAATCTACTTAATTTTTCATATAAAAAAAAAACAATAAAAATTAACAGGCTTTTGTCAAGTATATCTATTTAAGTATTTTTGAAGTTTTTCTCTTTTTTCATAATATAAAAAACTAATAAAAACAATAAATAAATACATATAAATTATATATACATTAAAGAATAGTAAAAATAAAACTAACCAAACAATTTTATAGTCTTTAAATGCTGTCACTAGCTCTACAGTATAAATTTTGCAACTTTCTGACTTTAATTTATTTAATTGTTTTAACTTTTAAAGGGCATAGTTTTATAAAGATTTTTCATAACATTATGAGAGCAGTTTCAGCTAAATTTCGGTAAATGATCAAGCACTTTTTTATTTTAATTAATTAATTAATTAATTGTTAGTTAAATATCCTTTATTATGAATTACAGATTTTATCCGTTTTGCCATACTAGCAATAAGTGATTGATATTCTTCAAGACTAATTTCAGACAAAATTTTTGTGTTTTTCTTTTAAATCTTGTTTATTGGTTTGGTTAGATACTTGCAGTCATTTTTCACNGCTGCCATCAAGTGCTGACATCTGTTGTCGATAAATTTTACAAAAATCAATTTTTACTAGGGTGCTGATTAATCGGTACCCTCATGGTTTTGCTTAACAATGGGGGTATCGACCAATCGGTATACTCAAGAAGAGAGGATTAACTTATTTTCACAGAACCAGTTTCTCTAAATTTTAGAATTAACTTATGAGTTCCTTTGGTACTGGAAACATGATTCTTAACAAAAACAGCACATAATACAAATATGAACAACAATTAGACTGAGATTTGGTTAAGGCCAATATAATCTGGCAGATCATTTAGCCTTAACAGCACATAATTTTCTTTGTGTTGTTATTAAAGATCATTGATTTTTGTAAAACATTTGAAAAATAACATGTTCTGCAATCATATACAGCTCCATTTTCTTCCCTCAGTCAGTCTCAACATTCCAAATGCCAAATATTACCAGCCAAAAAATATCACAACAAAAATTGTATACAATTCAAATCTGGTACCAGCTACTTTGATACCCTTTTTTAAAAAACTTCCAAAATATAAATTTAAAATATAATGATCACGGTTGATATTTTAACAAAATTTAAATTAAATAATATTTCTTTGTGATTAGCATTTGAAAATGAAGAATTTAATTTGGTTCAGTCACATCAGGGATGCTTAGCTTCTGATGTGAAAGCATTAAATTTTGTTTGAAATCTCTTGACATGCAGGAGTAGTGAGAAGCTAATTATGCTTTTGTATTGAACTCCAACAAAATATAGTGACTGCATTGAGTAGAAAAAGAAGATTACGTAGTAAAAATCTTCAGAATTTTAATCTACTTAATTTTTCATATAAAAAAAAAACAATAAAAATTAACAGGCTTTTGTCAAGTATATCTATTTAAGTATTTTTGAAGTTTTTCTCTTTTTTCATAATATAAAAAACTAATAAAAACAATAAATAAATACATATAAATTATATATACATTAAAGAATAGTAAAAATAAAACTAACCAAACAATTTTATAGTCTTTAAATGCTGTCACTAGCTCTACAGTATAAATTTTGCAACTTTCTGACTTTAATTTATTTAATTGTTTTAACTTTTAAAGGGCATAGTTTTATAAAGATTTTTCATAACATTATGAGAGCAGTTTCAGCTAAATTTCGGTAAATGATCAAGCACTTTATTTCAATTTTAATTAATTAATTAATTAATTGTTAGTTAAATATCCTTTATTATGAATTACAGATTTTATCCGTTTTGCCATACTAGCAATAAGTGATTGATATTCTTCAAGACTAATTTCAGACAAAATTTTTGTGTTTTTCTTTTAAATCTTGTTTATTGGTTTGGTTAGATACTTGCAGTCATTTTTCACAAATGGACCAAATATTTTCAATTAGGGACAAGTCTGGTGAGTTTCCAGGCCAATCCAGGAGCTTTATTTTTTCAGATGTAAATCATTCTTTAGGTTTTTTGCATGCATGACCTTTACATGCTTATATTATCCTGTTGAAGGATTACATTATCATCTTGAAAATTATCTTCCATTGTTGGGATGAAGAAATATTCTAAAATATCACCATTTATTGTCTCATTAAGAAATTAAATTTTCCAAATCCATTATAGTTAAGTGAACCACACACCATTACTTTAGTGAGAAATTTAATGACTTGCTGTAAACAATATGGATTGTTGGTTTCAAATTTCAAGTACCAAGATTTTTCTCCAATTTAAATAAGCACAAAATATAGTTTTATCACTAAAAATGATTTTTTGCCATTGTTTGGGTGTAAGACACATTTTTTGGCCAGGTTAAACAATTTTTCTTTTGAACTTTTGTTAGATAAGGTTTCTTTTCTGGTTTGGCTGCTTTATAATCCATCTCCTTCAAATAATTGTAAACATTTGTTTTTAAAACTCTGGTTTTCCAATCATACACTTCAATTCTTGTGGCATCTTTGGTAAGTTTGCATTCCTAGTTTATTTTATGATTTTTCTAAGTGCTGATTTCTGCAGCTTCTGAAGTAAATGTAGGACAACCAGAGTGGTTTTTTTAGCATTTAAAGTTCCAGTTTTGTTAAATTTTTAAGTTATTTTTCACACTTTAGATTGCAACACAATTAATTTTCCTTGTTGTTTATTCTTGCTTAATATTTTCTTCATGTAAATCAATAATTTTGGCTTTGATCCAGACTTAATTGTCATTTCTTGCCAATGTGTTTACCCTGTTTTTGTGACAATTGCTAGTTTGTTATTTATACAGTTTACATTATTTACAGTTTGTTTATATAATTTACATAATTACAGTAAATTAAAAGTGCTATTACTTATAATCGACAATATTTATTAATTTACTTCATATTATTCTAAACTTTTTGAACATGATTTCAAATATTTAAATGTTTTAAACATCATTCACTTAAGTAAAAAATTATGACTTTAACACTTTATTTAGATATTAATATTTTTAGACGAAAATATAGCTAAAAGATCAGGCTAAATATCCCCTTATTCAGTTTTTTTTATTTTATCTAGTTATTGCCATTCAAGGGTTGGCACTTTGTGATGGATTTCAATTATACTGAACTGTTTGAACATACTATAGAATATGAGAATTTTTTACTCAATAGAAACGGACTAAAAAATGAAAAGGTGTTATTCTTTAACATTATGTCTATAGAGACTTTTATATTTAAAATAAACATATTTGAAGTTATTTTAAACTAGAAAAATAAAATAAAGATAATAAGTAGATATTTTTGAGATAGGTGAGGACATGCACATGCAAGAGAATAAGGCAAATTCAATGTTGAAAATAATAAAAGTTTTTCAGATTATAGGTGGAAAATTGAATTAATGTCAACTGATTTTTATTATAAATGCATTTGATTGAAAAGTTGTAATGAATTACAAAAATTCATTCAAAGAGAATCTTCATTATCAGACATTTCTTGAACTTCCAAATTTGGACTTTTCAAATTCTAAAGTTTTTACTCCCCTCTTACACCTGTAAGAGGGGAGTATCTATAAGAGGGGCCCATCTCAAAAACATCTACTAATTGCCTTTACTTTGTTAACTAATTTTCATTTTATCTAGGTTGGAAGGGATTCAAGTAAGTTTTTAAAAGTAAAAAATTCTTCATATATGTAATGTTAAAGAAAATCACTTATTTACTTTCCTACTCTTATTTCCACCAAGTCAAAAATTCTAGTATTTTAGTAATGTGTGCATTTGAAAGTATTCTATCATTTATTATGATTTAATTGGAATCACTCTCACAATGTTATAAAAAATCCTTATGAAATGAAATCTTTTGTTTGATTCACAAAAAGAGTGTAAAACTAACAGAAATTTTGAGTATACTCACCCAATATCTAATACATGATTTCTATTAAGAAAGTGTTTTGGACTTTTAAATTTAGTAAAAAGTTGAGATAATTTCCTTTTAGGAATAAAATTATAAAAGAAAAATTTGGTTAAAATACATCAAGAAAGCAAAGTAGAAATAACATAGAGTTATTCATAACTTGTTTATATTTTCTAAGAACAGAACTTCATAAAAGATATATATTTGAAATTTTATCTCTGAAATTTTTAAATATTCAAGACCCCATTAGAAGAGATAATTTATAAAAACTAGATAGATAGATTTGATTTAACATTAATGATTGAAAACTTTNTCTATAATCTACTAGACTGAAAACAAAATTTTCTATTGGAGAATCCCAAGCTTTGAATATATATGTTACAGGTTCACTGGATGACACCCAATAATGCAAATGTTTGGTGTTCCTGTAGACAATCTATTTTTCATTATGCTTCAATAACCTGTTTAAAAAATGGCTTAGTGTTGTGTAATGAAAACAGTAAAAAAGCAGTTCATAAGCCACAGAAGTTTATTATTTACAGTTAGTTTATATAAAACTTGTTTGTTCATCTAGATAATATAAATGCTAATAAATGGTTTCATCACTTGAAACCTTTCTTCAAACTTATGGCTTTGTTAGGATGTGATATGGATGAAGAAAATTTTTCTTTGTTATGTCCAAGACATAGAGTAAGTATTTACTTAATTTTTTTAGTTTTTTACATATAGTTATGTACTATATATGTGTGCCTTCATTATTTTATACAAAATACAACAGATTAGAAAATCCAAAGATTAATGATTTCAGTAAACAGATTGTAGTCACTAATTTTTGGAAATAAATTTCACACCTTAAAATATATTCCAGAAACAATTTTAATCAACAAAAACATTTTCAATCTGTTTATAGGTTTTCATTGGTTGAATATTTGAACAGAACTGTATGTTCAAATGGAAATTTATTTCTGATATTCTCTTCAGATTCTAGAACAGCTACTAATTCTTGGATTTTTATGTTGTAAAATAGCAAAATATTTTTTTTTAAGTAAAGTAAAAGAATATGTGGTCACATGTTAAAGTATGTCACTAGTCAAATCTTGTTTTGTTTATAAAGTCATGATAACATATTCTTTTTTTTAACATGTGTACTTGCATAAGGTGGCTATTTTCCACTGATTTTTCATACTTAATTACATTGCACATAATTGTTGTTCTTTGAATTTGACTGTTCTGAAATATCCTGTAATACAGTATGTCTTCTCATATATTCCCAAATTTCAACAACATATTCTGTTTTGTTTACTAAACAATGTCCTTTTGACAAATTTTAAAAATATTATTATTAATATATTAGCCCACACTACGTTGCAGTATTGTGGGCTAATATGAAACAAATTCAGCTAGAAAAAAATGCTAGGAGGATTGAGCTGTTTCTCAGAAGGAGCAGAAAATGATTTTCTGTATTTTTTGGCCACAAAAGAAAGTTGCCAAAACATTTGAACTGAAGGTCATAGCACCCCAGACTGTCTTATGGAGACAAGTGTTCAAGGTTGCAGTGATTTGCAGACTGCCATGTCATTATAATGCATAACTGACAAACATCTATGACATCGTGCCTATCTCTTGCAGCAATCGTGTGAGACATCCATAACATCATTTTTGATGATGATATATCACCAAAAATGACATTAGAGTGGAAAAGTGCTACCTTATGTATGTGATTATGACAATAAAGAAAAATTGTGTGCAATAATATGCATAAGATGGCAGTTTTCCACAGTGGTGTTTCGAAGGCCTGTGATAAGNGTTGCAGTGATTTGCAGACTGCCATGTCATTATAATGCATAACTGACAAACATCTATGACATCGTGCCTATCTCTTGCAGCAATCGTGTGAGACATCCATAACATCATTTTTGATGATGATAGATCACCAAAAATGACATTAGAGTGGAAAAGTGCTACCGTATGTATGTGATTATGACAATAAAGAAAAATTGTGTGCAATAATATGCATAAGATGGCAGTTTTCCACAGTGGTGTTTCGAAGGCCTGTGATAAGCAGAAAAATATTTTTGACCCAAAAGTTTTACACAGTTAAATGTATAGCATGTGAGAATATTGTGGAAGCATGGCTAAGTAAGTCAGTTTGATGAAAAACTAGTAGTTGTGGAAAATTGCCACTGTTGCATTTGATTGAAGATAAGTAAAAAAATTAACATTATTTTATGTTTAAAAGTTTTATGCGTACAGTTTTCCTGCAAAATACCTTTTAAATTTTCTGATAAAATAATAAACTGTCTGAAAGGATAATCTAAATGTAAAGAATGAGCTGCTTAAATCACATGATGTCAGAGAAAAGAACCTTAGACAATCTATTTCCATGGGTTGTAGAGCAATTTCATGATCAACAGATTTACTGAAAATATTTTTGCCCATATCTTGAAACTTCTTAAATCCAGGATTTTTCTTATGATTGTGTGTTCACTTTGCTTTTTTTTGTTTTTTTTTCACTTTCTCAGTTAATTTTTGCATTTATAATGACCTTACAAACTGCTTTCAGAGACTTTATCTCTAAGCCGAATGTTTCCAGTTTCTGTATAACTTTAGGAATACAGGAAAAATGGGCTGCTATGTATGCTTGGAACCCTGCAGATATGAATGAATTAAAGCATACTAGGTAGCCACTTTACATCAAAATCAAAAATAAAATCAAAATTAATTAATTAAAATTGTTTTAATTTTCAGTTGATTTTATTTCAATTTTAATTAATTAATTAATTAATTGTTAGTTAAATATCCTTTATTATGAATTACAGATTTTATCCGTTTTGCCATACTATCAATAAGTGATTGATATTCTTCAAGACTAATTTCAGACAAAATTTTTGTGTTTTTCTTTTAAATCTTGTTTATTGGTTTGGTTAGATACTTGCAGNGTTTCCAGTTTCTGTATAACTTTAGGAATACAGGAAAAATGGGCTGCTATGTATGCTTGGAACCCTGCAGATATGAATGAATTAAAGCATACTAGGTAGCCACTTTACATCAAAATCAAAAATAAAATCAAAATTAATTAATTAAAATTGTTTTAATTTTCAGTTGATTTGATTTCAATATTTTTAAAAACTGTTTAAAAGTTGTTTTGAAATTTTCAAATTGTAATCAAATTTATATTTAAATTTACATAATTTGTGTACAGTGGTGAAAGAACATTTTGCTTTTAATATATATAGATTTAACAGATTGTATTTTTATTTATATGTTGGATTCTCTTTAAGGTTATGATTTTCTGAATGATTTTCTAGCTTTAGTTTATGTTTTACTGTTTTTATGGTTTATATTATGTATTATGAGATAACCAAAAAAGTGTATGTAGTTTTTGAAGATAAAATTAAACCATACAAAAAAGGTGAATAAAAATATTTTATTTGGGAAAGTAAGCATTTAGTCAAGTAGAAAATATCTGATTATTAGAAGCAAATAAAATAATTAAATCCATTTTCACTGCTTCTTAATTTCAAAATTGTAAGTTGTGCATTTGATTGTTCAGTTCCAAGGAAAGATGACAGTGGGATAATGTAATGGGATAATATATAGAGGATAAAATATAAATTCTACTGTACACTCTGTATTTTCCTGACCTCATACCATCCAATTGAAGCTATGGAGCTTGTCTTAGATTGTTCTGTATGAGGGTGAGTATTGTTTTGAAGGAACAGAAAGCATTGTTTTCAATCTGTTGATGACTATGCCAAGTTTAATCAAACCATAGTGATGGTTTGATTAGTGACAGGTTCATAATTAACATCATTATCTATAATCTACTAGACTGAAAACAAAATTTTCTATTGGAGAATCCCAAGCTTTGAATATATATGTTACAGGTTCACTGGATGACACCCAATAATGCAAATGTTTGGTGTTCCTGTAGACAATCTATTTTTCATTATGCTTCAATAACCTGTTTAAAAAATGGCTTAGTGTTGTGTAATGAAAACAGTAAAAAAGCAGTTCATAAGCCACAGAAGTTTATTATTTACAGTTAGTTTATATAAAACTTGTTTGTTCATCTAGATAATATAAATGCTAATAAATGGTTTCATCACTTGAAACCTTTCTTCAAACTTATGGCTTTGTTGAAAGATAACATTGAAAAACCTCATAAACTTTTATTGTTATCTGATATACTAAAGTATTATAATATATATTGTAATTATAATAATAATAAATACTAAAATATATATTTTACTTTTACAGAAAAGATCACATGGAGAAAAACGAAATGTAGTAGAATGAAATTATCGAAGACTTTATTTTGCTTCCACTAGATAGTGATGTGATACAATGAAAGTGTTATCTGTCACTATTTCATTCCAGACTTTTGTGTGGTGGCATGTGACTTCTGATGTGATGTTGGTGTTATACCCACAGATACAAGAATGTCCAGTTGGTATACACTTCATCCATGCAGTATACCTTGCATCTTGTGATTGGCTATAGTCTTTAAGTGCCCTGTGTTTTTATATAAAAAGTCCAATGTTATAGTGCAACAAATTTGGTTTTGGATAGTTGCTTCAATTGTGAACTATTCAATTTTTATAGATAGATTTAAAGTGCCACAAGAACAGCATATGTAACCCTATCATTATAGCAAAAATAAAAAAAAGGAAGCAACCTTCATTTTTCCTGCACAAGAGTGGTTTTCTGTGATGTCATGAATATACAAACTGTGGATTTACCCCATGTAATTCTATACAAAATCATTTCAACATATTCATTACTTCAGATTATGGTAACTTAATATTACCGTGCTCATTTGACAAGGATAAGAAGTGGCACAAAAAAATGTAGGATAAACTTAGGAAAAAAAAACCATGCCCATTTAATCTAGACTTTATCTATCTAGTGTTTATACAGCCTTTTTAAGAAAGAACAGGGTAGCTTGCTGACTTTACTTCTGTACATTAGTGTGTTGTGATAATGTGAAGAAGTGCTTACAGCTACTACTCACTTTATATATACATATATATATTCTATTTAAAAACAGGTTTGCCAAAGAAGTTGCAATATGTACATTAACAAGAATGTGGTGTATGTAAATTGAAAACTCTTTATGCAAGTGGAGAAGCAAGATATTGACTGGAGAAGATCAAAGATACCGACTTACTCGACTTACATTGCATCAAAAGTACCGACACACAACTAACTGTTGCATAATCTGGACATGTAATCAGCGAGTAATTAGCATGTAATCATGCCCTTCTACAAGTCCTATGTCGTATTAATATTTCTGCTCTTAAATATAGTCTGATACTGGTAAATTGTGGTACTTGAAAAGTGTTGAATTATTAAAAAATTTTGAATAAAAAATATTGATATTAAAAATTACACATGCAAATTATGGAATTATAGATTTAAAAATAAATAAATAAATAAATTAGACTTTGTATGCGAGAGAACTGTATATTAAATTAACATTTCTGTAAATAACTTTGTTTACAAAATATGGAAATTCTTAACGATACTGTTAATTTACGACGGGATTTTACAGATTATTTTCCAGTTTACGGGGGGGAAATAATAGAAAAATTTATACAATATATTACAAGAATTAATTTACGACATTTAAGGCGCCATGTGACTTAGACATCCACACCTGAGAGGCCAACAANAAGTTAAAATATAATAATATAAATATTAATAACAATAATAATAATATATATATTTTAATAAAACGAGTTCTTTGAATTATTTCACAATGCAAAGATACTTAATCGTTACGATTATTCCCAGAACGAAATTGTTATCGTTGTTGGACTCTGAACTAAACGTCGCTATGCAAACAAAAGGATTGAAACTAAACTGAGAATTAAAAAAACATGGAAGGAAAACGTAGATAGATAAAAATGGCCCAACTTTTATTCATTATCGATATGTTAATTTTTAAGAACTAGATTTTATCTTAACACGATGAAATTCGTTTATGATTGTATCAGATACCAAGTCACTCCCACTTCGTAATTTGAGTGATGCATGGTTCATTTTTTATTTGTTAATTTGTGTGTACCTATAACATTCTCGCCGTCGAACGTCACGTAACGTCAGCGATACGTCATATCGACAGCTGCTTACCGTTGTAGTATCACTCAGGTAGTGCAGGCTGAAAATGGCTGTTGATACTGAAAGGTTTCATCGCGCTGCTAGAGACGGTTATTTAGATTTGTTACAAGAGTCGACTCGAAAAGATTGCAACACTCAAGATGAAGATGGCATGACACCTACCATATGGGCTAGTTACTACGGAAATTTGGAGGCTTTGAGGTTAATTGTTGGGAGAGGGTAAGAAATTTTCTTTATTTCTAACAATAACAAATGTGTAAGAAATCGTTCATATTAATTAATATAACTAAACTATATTAAATTTACGTTATAATTATCTGAGATATTAGTTTTGTTTTTTAGTAATAGATTTTGAGCAAATTTCATTAAATTGCTACGTAATAGATATATATGTGGTATAGTATTTCTTATAATAAAAATGTTTATAATTTATAAGAAATATAAGTTTTATTAGACAATGTAATTAAGTATTTTCTCATATCTGTGGTAACCGATGAGGGATCCATCGGACCATGTTAACTGGACACCTGGTGCTTGACAGGATGTGTATTGTGTTCACTCGCACAGGAAACACGTGTGGGGAGAAACGGATATTTATAATGAGGGTGAGCCACCCGAAAATGGAGAGATTCCTAGAAATTTTTCGAAACTAGACTCTTTTTTTTTGTAATATATGAAACGGAACTTGCTGAATTTATACGGAAAGGAAAATAAATACAAAAATATCACGTGATAACTTTCAGATCCCAGAGATTAGATTTTTTGTTTTCATTGTTCTCTCTATGTAAAGACTAGAATTTAAAACATATTGTTAAAATAATGATATAAAAATATTTTATCTATTCTTTCTTATATCCCTTATAAATAGTTTGTTTCGAGTCTTTGAAATTAAAACTATCCTATTGATTAGATAAAGAAAATTAGTTGTTTATCTTTGTCTTTAGAATAAAGTACAAATTAAGTTATTGATAACGAGAACATTATTAAATATTATAGACTAATAATTAAAATTAATCGATTCATTATGTATCATAGTTTGATATGACTTAAAAATTTTGTGTATTTTTGAAAGTTTTAAAGACTAGTCTTGTAATCTTATATGATTTGTTGTTCGTAAAATTCTAAGATTTTTTAAAAAGCCAATTGAGATTTTTTACTGAAGGAATAACAACTTTTGCACGAAATCACGTACAAAAATCATTTTATGTAGCTATTTATAACACATCTCTTTATAACCGTGATGTGTATTTTTTTTCAGATAAACTCACTTTGCAGAGTATAAAATAAAAATCGAAAATAGAAAGTATAAAGTCCTCTCGTGATACTTCGTTATTTTGATAATACGTTCGACAAGTGTGTAATTAATAAAATTTTAATTATTTCTATACAAGATGTAATTACTTTGATTGACACCATGCAGTTTATTTTTCAATTTCATGGTTAGTGATGCAGTAAGTTTGATAAGATCTTAAGAGAAATATTGTACTTAACAGTGCCTATGAAAAAAAGGAGTAAACTGGCCTAGAATTAACTTTATTCTATTTTTATTTTCTTTCTGTTTATCTAGATTTATAACTGAACAGCTGGAAAACGGTTTGCAAAACAATACGACCATATATTACATAACGAATAATAATTTTATCTTTAATTTTTAAAATGATGATTTGTAAATTAATCATTTAGTTTAGTTAATCGTAGATTATTTACGTCTTAATTTAGCAATTAATTTGATGTTATATTTTTGTTGCAGAGGAGATCCCGATAAGTGTGATTATTACGGTAATACGTCGTTACACTGTGCAGCAGCTAATGGACATTTAAATTGCGTATCCTTTCTTGTAAATTTCGGAGTTAATTTATGGGCGTTAGATAATGATTTCCATACAGCGAAAGATATAGCGGCCATGAGACAACACGAAGACATTTTGAAATATCTGGATGATGCAATTACAAAACAAAGCAATTTGAATAAAAAACACGTGCAGAAGTTGAAAGAGAAAGCAATTAAAGATGCCGAGAAGAGAATTAAAATATATAATAAGCTGCAAAAAAAGGCGGCTAAGAAAGCGGAAAGGGATGAGAAATATTTAGAAAAGGAAAGAAGGAAAATGTCTGATGATCAGGCAAATTTAGGAATAGGATCCTCTCTATTGCCTATAAGAAAGGATTCTAGACAACTTTACACGTCGCCCAGATTTTCAGAAATTGTTAATTACTCCGAAACGAATTCTAAGAAAAAAGGTTTTAGCGCTGTTTCCAAGAAGATACTGCAGAAAAGAAATATTCCACGTAATGAATTTAAAGTGCGAGAAGTTGAACAGAATGGTAAAAAGTCGATCCGTTCTCTCTCGGGACTAAAAAGAGATTCTGAGGTAATATATATACAGACAGACAGACCTCATATGAAAGACGTTTTTGATCAGCAAAATAATTTAGAGAGATCCATAAGCGAACCCGGATACCTAAATTCTGAAGAAATTCTGTCACAGAATAGTAGTATATTTGACAGACCAGGATTTGGTAGCGTTGCTTTTCGTAATTCTATGTACGGAACACTCTTATCCATTCCTCCTAAGGAAATTCAAGAGGAGGAGGAGGAGGAAGAAGATAGCATAGGAAGTGCTGGAAGTCTAGCTCAAAGAAATACAAATCTACCTTGGGATGCGGACCAATTAGATTTAGACGACAAAGAGGAATTAGATTTAACATCTTTAATAAATTTTCTGTCCAGTCAAGGACTTAGCGAGTACATTCCTATATTTACGAAAGAAAAAATTGATTTAGATACTTTATATATATTAACTGAAGATGATCTGAAGAGTCTCGGTTTACCCTTCGGTCCTAGGAAAAAGTTATCAAAGGCTCTGCAAGAACGTAAACCCAAAGAAGAAGAAACTGACGAAGTTGTCGTTTCTTACTTGTAAAAATTATATAAAATTACAGCAAAAATTGTTTTTTACTCGTGTGCCAAAGATTTAATTTGTGAATAAACACGTTATTTTAAAAATTTTCTTGAAAAATACGTAGAAAAGATTATTTCGCTTATTAAATTTAGAGAATTTTTCGTGCTGCTTAAATCGTTTATATCTCTGAAAAATTTCGAAATTACTAAACATTCCTTGACCTACCTATGATATTGTGATCACGGATCACGCTTGACTTCTCTCGTTTCGGTTACGTGTGATATAACAATAGTAGAGTTAAACTCTTTTACAATTCCTAAAAACGCATTTAAACTTTTGAATAGAATTATTTGTTGTGTGTGCAGAATACATATTAGGTCAGATATAAAAACTTTTTATAACTGATGTTAAGCACGATAGTTATTCCATATATTATATGGAATAATTATCTCATATACAACATAAATATATTGAACTAAACTGACATCAAATACTGTACAATATATGTATGTGTGTTTGTGTTTTATCTTGGGATTTCTATTCGTTTTATTTTTAATGAGTTCTCTTGTTTGAATTGTACTATTACCATTACAAGATGAATTATCCATTATATTTTATTTATGGGATTTTGCATTGGTTATTACATTAAACAAGTGCTAGATGTGTTAAAATCTTTTTCTCTGTCAATATAACAAAACTTACTTTCTGTTCCAGTATTTTGTAATGAAGATATGAGAAACTGCAATCATTGTTTTCAGCATGAACGGTAAGGCCTGTCTATCGTTATGGAAGACTTTCCGGACTCTCATTTTATCAGGAATAATTTTGGTCGTTCATCTTAACTAGCTTTATACACTAATCGGACCAATTGTTGGTCTGGCTTACTCGGAATAGACCAAAATTATGCGCTGTCATATAATGTTCTGGATTAAAATATTAAATATAATTTAGCAATTCACCAGTATTCGTAAATAAGCCTCATTCGTCGGCCTATAGTTATGGAAGGTCAGGATATGATCTATAATTATAGACAGGCCTTATCATGCGAGCTAAAATATGATAAAATTGTAATTTCTCTCATATCATTGCAATACTAGAATAGATAAAATAAAACTTATATAACCAAAAAAGTTTTAACATTCTCTACATTAACAATAACAGTTTTTTGTTCTTTCAATAAAATGTAATTATTTGTGAAATATCACAAGATTTATTATGGTATTTCATTTCAGAAAATATATAATTACAAATAATTTTAAAAATAAATATATTTTTAGAAAAAATCAAGTCGATTTATTATTATTAATTAAACAACAGTATAAGAAATGCCATAATAATGTTTTTGAAACTTCAGAGTAACAGTTCATTAACCAAGGAATTTTCAAATTGTTATCTTACGTAGATATTACTGAGATGGCAGCATTTAAAATGAATGTATAATTTAATTTAAAATGTAAAATGTTTATTAGAACAATCGTACTATAGTAACTAACGTTCACTAAGAAAGATTTGTTTATTAAATAAATTGCTTTTATAAACGTTTTCAATCTCTCTTTATTTCCAAGCCATCTTCAGGCTTGGATGTAAAAGCTTTTATATTTTGAGCTGTGGAGTACAATGAACTCTTCACTGTTCGATTTACCATTTACCAAAAGATGCAATACCATACAATAAATGCTATCGTCTGAATAATTTTTGTTTCTTTTATCATAAAACCACAATTCGTACAATTACATAATATATCTATTAGTGATGTAACGAATATTCGGTTACTATTCGGCCGAATACCTAAAAACAGGAGTAAGAAATAATAATAACAGTAAATTAATCATTTTGGTATTTAGATTTAATGTTATCGGGTTAGTGTTGTTTGTTTATATTTATTTATAACTTATAACATGCACAAAATAAAAAAGAACATAATATTAGTCACTTGTATTTATAATTACAAAGATCAGCACACGTACACATCTATTCGTTCGAGAATCGTCGCACATCTGAGGGTCTGACCCTGTCTATCCTTCTTTTTAAGCGCTCGTCTTTGCTCTTCCCTTTCTTTTTCCTCTATCGCTCTAGTCCACGTATGCCTATGCATACATCATAATACGCCCTCACGATACTTTCGATTCGTCACTTTTCCGTCGTAGATTTTGCATTTTACAATTACGTGACTCATAGCCTGGTGATAACGGAGAAAAGAGACAGACAGGACGTCGGTATAAGTCACAGTTATGATTTCACAGATTTGAAACAGCTTGGTAGCCCGAACGACCCCAGGCTTTCGTCCGTGCACGCTAAGTGACTTTCATTACAAGCATTTAGCTTTCCGAAGTCTATGACAACAACTGTTTGGCATTCACGGCCGCGAATTTCGCGCCAATAAGCTGTCTCGACTTGTTCGAGAGCAGCTTATTGAGTTGATAACGGAATCGACTTGTTCGATTATGTTATCAACTCAATTTCATATTTATTTTCACATTTTCACTTTGCGGTCCTTCTCTGTTCTTTTTCCGTTATTTACACGTCTAGGTGATTTCATTGTTATCCACATTTGATATCATCACTTATCACATACTGCCATGATGCTCTTGTCTGAACTGTCAAGAATTAACGCGATTGGCGAAGCGTAGTGACAGTGGGCCAATAGAGAGCAGGGTCCTTGCCATAATGCTGTTTGCGCACCAATTTTCGTACGTGCGTTAATCAAGCCGAATAGTTTGGCCGAATATTCGGCTATTCGGCTACGCTCCTGGCCGAATATACTATTCGTTGCAACGCTAATATCTATCAATTGAAGCCAGATAAAAGGTTAAATGTAAATTTGCAATAGGCAGCTTTCTGATTTTTAAAATAAATATTGCATAGAGAGCACAGTATTTTTAAATGTGTATACGTTAATAATAAATTAAACGAGCACTATCCGAAATAAATCATCATCATCAAATAATATTTTCTTGTTTAGTTTTCATCAAATAATTGAACGTATAATTTGAAATCATTTTCATGTCAAAGTATGGTTGCTGAAACCATTATTACTGACAGTGAGAGTAAAATTTTTTATTATATGGAAACTATACCAAGGTTCTCAACTTATGTTACGCGGTACCCCAGGGTTCCGCCAATAAAATTTGGTGTATCACAAGAAAATCCGTTGAGTCTAGTGATGCATGAATATGCCAATGCAGATTTACGATATGAGATGTAATTGTTCTAGTCTCGGATCGAGTCCTAGACACCTAGAGCAGCGGTTCTTAACCTGGTGTGCGAGAGAAATTTTAAAAAAATACGAACGAGGCGACAGTGTTCTCTACAAACTGTGGCACCCAGAAACACGGCATCCCCACTTCTTTCTCTATCGTCTCTCAGCACATAGCGCTTGTCATCAGTCGTCAGTAGATGCAGTTAACTTTGTACAGTGGGTTAGTCAGCTATGGCGCTATCACGATGTAGTGGAGAATGAACGAGAGAAATTTTTAAAGTATTTTCTCACGCGTTTTTCTCGTTACCGTTTCGGAAAAAAATTATTTAAACGGTTCTCTAGTAAAGAAAAATATTTTTTTTTATTGTCACATAATTCCTTTTTCATGTGAATTTTTTTCACGGTATTTTTTGGCTAGTTTTCGGCGATATCCGCAAAATTATCGCCGTCGTTCATCAGTGCCACGTGATCGCCCTTGATGGGTATATCCGTCTATCACTGTAGAGTGGTTAATGTAGTCACATTGTCACGTGTAGTACAGAAACTAGTTGAGACGAGTTCGCATACCTTGAATACAGCACTTTTGCACATCAAAACGAAATCCAGAAATTGCTTAAATGCATCTGATGACGTTACCATGGGTTTTTATGGGAATTTGATTAATTCGTTCCGGAGACTCCAAAAAATAAAAAAATATACTGTATATACTTTTTTACTATGAAGTTTATTAATTTNTTATGGGAATTTGATTAATTCGTTCCGGAGACTCCAAAAAATAAAAAAATATACTGTATATACTTTTTTACTACGTTTATTTATATGTATAGTAAAAATACATATATATATGCAGTCTTGCATTTTTATTAGTCATGTTTTTCCCGTTTGTGGGGATTAAAGAATCTGTCCAATGTCGATTGCTTTTCTCTTCAGGATTTTTCGGAAGTAATTAATAGTATTGTAATTGTAGAGATCTCCAACCCCATTAACCTTATTCTGGTTTGGATGCCACTTGGATAATCGTTGTTCTGACATCCTCCCACTTCAAAAGATCTTTAGTAGCAGATGTCGATATTGGTCCTCTTTCGTCTTCCTCTTTTTCAAAAGAAAACAAACCTCTCTGAGTTTCTTGGTATTCCTCATTTGAGAGTTCTTGGCGTTTTGTCGTCAGATCAGTTTCAGGTTCCATTATTAAGCTCTAAAATGCTCTTTTATTTCTCAGTTGTGATTTTCATTACTCCATTAGCAGCTTGAGACTTCTTGATATATCTTTCATAGCTAAGATTGTGCCTACTGTAGAGCTGTTCAAGCCATACTGTCTAGCAACATCAGACATCTTGTGCCCAATTTCTACCTTGGCTATTATCTCATACTTGGTTTCTACGGTGAGCACAGTTCTTGACACTCCTCTTTTTACGCTCTCATAATATTATCAGTTTCTTTTTTAAATAAAAAGTTCAGAAAAGTACGTACAAAAATTCAGAAATCAACTAGCCCACAAAAAGTTATTTAAATGCAAGGCACAGATGAAATTCGAATTTCGGTATTAAACAGTTAATTAAACTTTCACCTTTTGTTAATAAACTCCGACGCAAAACTTAACAAGTGCCCGTCCGACAGTCTCGCGAAGACTATAAAAAATTATTTGTCAGAAAGGTAAACGAAAAGCTGGAATTACAAGGAAGAGTTTCAAAATTTGGAGGAATACTATCTGATCGGTATCGGGTTGAGCGTCGATGTTGACGTCTCCCGCGCTCCGAAAGGTTTCGAATTGTTACCTTGACAAGAGAAAATCAATCGGTATTCGTTATTTTCCGTCGCTTCTTTTTATGTTTGTTCAGTAAAGTGTTCGTTGTCCGATCATAAATATCTTTCGCGAACTGTTCGATCACCCGCAATAATATATAT